TTAGTGTCTGTGAAACGTTAAGCACTATCCCAGTTACTGGTTTGGATTTTTCATTTTACACAAGGAACTCTCTAACTCCCAGAATTGTGTTAATTAAGTCATTTTTGTTCTTTGCTCAACAAGTTGGAGAAAGAAACATTAATTAGATGTTACTCCCTCTCCACTACTAGACCATAATTACTTTGAACTCAGCGATGCCAAACAAAGATGGTTCTTCCTGTTCGGTGGTTTCATACCTTCTCTAACCTGCCAGACCCAGGTTTGGAGCGATTTTTATGAAAGTCATAGATGATACTGCAGAACATCAGTAGCGAATGAGTAGTAGGGTCCTAACAACAGGGACTGGCCCCGAACTGTAAAGGGAAAGGTGAAGGTGCTGCTTTGCCCCGGCTACGTAGGGAGCTGTCACGGTTACATTTAATCATTCCAATGGTCCCCTCTCAATAACTTTTTTAAAAATAGACTCCTCCAAGAATAGTGGGAAAAGGGTCTGTTTAACAGTGAGCTTTTTGTTTTTCTTTTAAAGGACACTTAAAAGTACGGTTGTAAAACCCTCCTTGAGGCTAACACGAATAAGCGGTCTTTAGAACTTAAGTGTGGGGAGGACGTGGTGCGGGATACAGAAACAGCGCCCAGACTGTCCGGGGTGGAGAGACATCCCCGACTGGTGGGGCCCGGGCGGCAGCCGAGGACAGTGGGGAGCGCGACGAGGGTACGCGCAGGGGCCGCGGAAGGGAAAGCCGGCCCCGGGCGGCTCCCGGGGAGGAGCCTCGGGGCCAGAGCCGAACAGAGTGGAGGGAATGCCCGACACCGGCGAGAAGGCCGCGTCCGGTCGCACCCGCTCATCCCTGATGCTGGCAACAAACAGGGCTGAGAATGGAAAAGCAGGAAGAAGTCCTAACAGGCACGCGGGCTCCAAAGCAACAGGTGTCCGCGGCGGCTCCCTCAAGAGACTGCCTGCCGGTTGGGGCAGGAAAACAAGGCCCGGCGCGGCGGCCTCCAGGCCCTCCTTTTCTCAGTCCCTACCCCACCGCACTCACTCTGCCACACGACGCTCTTCAGCCCCCGCTCAGTCACCGGCGGCGCCATCTTCCCAACACTGCAGAGCACCAACCACCACCTCCGACTCCCAACCTACTTTGGCCGTGAAAGCGGCGTTCGCGCGGCCCCGCCCCTCGGTTGAGGAAGACCCCGCCCCCTCCCACGGACCGCGCCCTCCGGTGACGCCACGCGCTTCACAAGAGGATTCCCGCCCACCCGTGGACGGAGGCTGCGCAGTGAGGGTGGAATTGCTGTGGGCAGTCGGGCGCCCCCTCGCGGGAGGCTGCTGACACCCGAGGTTCGAAGTTCTGTGATGTCGCAAAGCGGACATGTGCCAGTGGATTGCGAGCTAACACGAACTATGAAATTCCGAATTCATGCCTACATGGAGATATTTCGCTTTACAAAAGAATTCTTCACTTTGCAAAGCGATTAGTAGTAGATTTCACTCAGTTGCCAGCTCAACTACTGAATGGAAAATTGACTTCTCCCCCAAAGTTTACTTTATTCATTTTTCAGGGACACAATAATTGTGTAGAAATATGAGGTCCCCTCCAGAACCGTGCTCAGAACTGTGCTGGACTTTCAGGAGGCTCAAAGAAATGAGAAAGCCACTTCTTTCCCTGAATTATTTATAATCTAATTAAAGAGCACGATTCTTGGTATACTGTAGGTAGTCAAAAGTTGATCGAAAAGATAAATGCCTTAATGATACAATATACCTAAATGAACCAAAAAAAAAAAAAACAAGAATCATTTATTCAACAACTTTGTGCAACATATGTATGGGAGAGGCTATCAGTGCTTTAGGATCCCAAACTATTGTTGAAAGCTGATTCACAAAGGAGGTGATTTGAGCTCAGACGTAGAAAGTTTAGGCAGAGATCTATTTACTGAGATGGTTCTTTTGGGACTTGAAATCAAAATAATCAAACATGAATTAGATCAGTTTAGTTGCAGAGAACACTAACTGTAACATAACCATTATATACATTGACAGAAAGTAGCTTTCATAGAGGGATTTGCAAAGAACCAATGGTTTTAAAGATTCAAGTTGGTTATACAGGGAAGTGGAAATGGTTACTACTACTGCTGCTGCTAATGTCTAATATTTACTGAATGCTTACTATATGCCAGGCACCATGCTAAGTGGATTAACTCATTGATCCATACAGACAAGGAAACTGAGGCTTAGTGAAGTAACTTGCCAAGAATGCCCAGCTACTGGTGGAGTGAGAACAAGGATCAGGCTTATACTACACAGAAAGCAAAAGAGCAGTCTTTGGGATAACCTGCAATTTGGGGGAGAGAAAAGGAGAATGAAGAATAAAAACAGCCATAAAATGAATTCAGGCACAACATATGGCATGAATTCTTTTTCGGTTTGAGGCTTATATAGGAACGGAAACTGGATACCTGGCCTCCTTTAAACCTACTCTGAATGGATTCAGTTGCTCAGAACTTTAAACAAATGCACACATTATTTCTCTCTCCCTTTTCAATTTTAAAGCAGGCTCTGCTTAGTATAATGGGGTAGAGCCCCAATCCATAAGAAAAATACATGACAGTGCAGACTTACCCTTCTGAAGTGGAGCGCGTCGCCCTGGAAGTTCAGTCCAAGAAGGAAGAGTGGGGTAGGTGAGGTGCCTCCATCTCCACCTTTGAAGAGAATGACCGGGTGCCAAAGAATGACACAAAAAGGACTTTCTGGGTTGGAAGTTTCACTTTGGTCACATGGGGTGCAATTGTGGCACATACTTCTAAAGGCCAGATTCCAGGGTGGCAGTGTGGTATGGCCGAGTGAGCATGGACTTCAGTGGCACACAGACACAAGTCCATCCTGCAAACTCTGGCTCTGCCTCTTGTTAGCAACGTAACTTCAAACACTTAGGTTAATTGCACTTGCATGCTGAGTATGATTATATTATCTCAACCTTCACAACAACCCAGCAGGATGATAATTTTTATTGCCATCTTACAGATGAGAAAACTAAGGTTCAGAGAGGTTAAGTAAATCATGTAAAATCTCAAGATGAGCTAGGATCTAGATCCATCCCGCCCTTTCCATTGTAAATTTCCTATTCTCCCATGCTCCCCTAGTTTTTCATAACCTCCTGAGCTCTAAGTCTCTCTAATTTGCCTGCCTAAACAAATTGAAAAATGAATTTGGATCCCCTGAACATGACACAGCAGAATAGAAGGTAAAATCCACCAACACTGGGCAAAGATAAAAAGCTGCTTTGTATAATTCACAGAGCATGTAAATAATGGAGAGCTGAATGTTCAAGCACTTGAGTTAGGGCAGATTGCTCACTCACTATCCTATTCCCAGATCTTTTTCACTAATAATTGATGACTTAATCATGAAAACATAGAGGAATATTTTCCATAAAGACATCATGGATCAGCAGGGCTAATCAATGCTACTTACTTATTTGGCTCCCTGAAAATTTGTGTCTGAACTGGTTAGCTGTGTGAACAGGGGTGAGCTACTTTGACCTTTCTGGGCCTCTTTTACTTCATCTATATAAAGGGGATAACATTATTACCTGGCTTGTAGGCTGTTATAAGAATGAAGTGAGTGTATGGAAAGCACTTAGAAGCACATAGTATGTGCTATATATATATATATGTTAAATAAACTGGTTTTATCTTTACCCAGTGTGGACCACACTGTCTCCTCCTAAGGAATTCTGACCAAAGCAGCCCAGCCTTATATGCCTAGAAATGGCAGATAGCCATTTTATTTTCTGTGCCCTGGTATTTGCAGGGTATGGGTTCAGTGGTCCCAGTTCCCTGGTCCCCGAGGACCAAGGATCCTGGCCTTCCATTTGGCCTTTACCCTGGGCTCTTTGGCTGTTCCAATTATCCATGGACACAACTGTTCAGAGAGCACACCCTGCTGGCAGCTAGGCTCAGCCCATGGTCTCACATGGGCTCTGGACCACAGTCCAGAATGCAGCCTCAGTTGCCCTCACAGGACTGGTCCTGCTCTGAACCCTCCAGATCTTGTCAGTCTTTCCTCAGAGGCCACAGGCCTCTATCTTCTCAGCCTTCCATCACTGAAATTTCTCTTCTAGGAAGAGCCCACTGAGGCAATCCTTTTAAGGTTCCCAAACCTAGCCATATGCCAGAATCACTTGGTGAGTTTGTCAAAAATACAAATTCCCAGACCCAGTCTCAAACCTACTGAATTTGAGTCTCTAGCAGTGATACCTGGGAATCTATATAAGTAATGAGTTTCCCAAGTGGTACAAATGAACCTACCCTGATTCCTGTTCACTCACTGGTGTTTAGGAACAAAAATGAACTAAACACAACCCTCCTCTGTGTGTGCTTTCTGATGCATCAAACTCTATTTTTAGTGTTCTATGGATTTGGCTTCTCTCCCTTTCAATAGCAAATGCTCCAGGGAAGATCTCCTATCGTTCACACGTTATGTATCTCTGATCAGTCTTACAGAGAAAGCATATCACCTTCTGTCCTGGAGCACATGTTGATAGGAGGTTACAATGGAAAGGGATGCTTGCCTGCCTTTCCCTTCCATGCTTTCCACAAGCTTGACTCCAAGCTCCAATTCCCTCTGCTCAGAGTTTTATGGTAGTTTCTAACTACATTCTTGGTTCCATAGCCATGCTTTTGGGTAGTAAACACGTAGCTCTCTCTCTCTCTCTCTCTCTGTATGTGTGTGTGTGTGTGTGTGTTATACAAGTCCTACTCGCACTGTTTTTTAATAAGGTTACTGGCATTAGAAGGACAAGCACTTTCGGGCCGGCCTGTAGCTCACTCGGGAGAGTGCGGTGCTGATAACACCAAGGCCACGGGTTCGGATCCTCTATAGGGATGGCCGGTTTGCTCACTGGGTGAGCGTGGTGCTGACAACACCAAGTCAAGGGTTGCGATCCCCTTACCGGTCATCTTTTTAAAAAAAAAAAAAAAGAAGGACAAGCACTTTTCTGGGTACAACAGATTTATGTTATATATCATTGTCTTTCTTCTCCAAAGATGAAAAAAGCAGTACAGTGTGAGGGGGGATACAAGACTGAAGGTCCTCCCTGGAAAAGATGCGTGCATGTATGTCAGTCTGCCATAGTTTGAGGCTCTGCCCTTGCTCAGTCAGAAAACATGACTGCAATCCTTCTAGAAACAGGCCAGCAGCTCTGCTATCCCAGACGCTCCTTCAGATGTCACATCACATGAAGCTTTGGCTCAGCAAGCCCTACAAACAGCTCTGCTTCCCTTCTAGCTTGCTATGAGGGCATCTGTTACCACAGGTTGCTTGGCAGCTGCTGCTATCCACCCCATGCTGAAATCCTGGTGGTCTGTCTCGAGACGAGCACTGTCTCTGTGTAAGTGGCTTGACTTCTCTGGCAGTGAACACTTGCAGCCCCTGAATGGCTAGGGACTGCATCTGCAAGTTCTGGTGTTGATGAAACACTCATAACATGGGTATGTTGAAGTCTGTGGCATGTCTGGATGTAAAATCTCAGAACGGATTTTTGCTAAGCAGGCCTTTCATGTTTCCAGGGTTCTCACAGTGTGCTGGCTCACTCTGGCAGCCTTTCAGAGGACTTTCTGGATTCATTTCTTTACAGAGTCCTTTCCACAGAAGATCTTGAACTCCTGTGCAGATGAGGACATGCTTGACCTTGCCCTCAGGAAGCAGAGTCAGAGTTCTTATTCTAAAGGCCAAAGGAGCTTTTTCTATCCTAGAGGCATTTTGTATTCTAATAGATCCTTTCCAACTCTAATCACTAATAATTAGACAACTCTGCAAAAGAAATGGGAAGAATTTAACAAAGAACAAACATTTCCATGCAATCACAAAAAATCAGTTTACGTTACTCACCTGGTCAAATCTCTAATTTTATCCAGGACTCTGTGTCATTCTGCATTTCTCTTCCCTCTGTAAATCACTGAAAAGGGCAAGGAAGAGAAGAGGCAGAAAAATGTATTAAATACACAGACATTTTCTTAAACTAAAAAACACAAATGTCAATGCAATTTTATTAGTATTTTGGTTTGAAATGCTGTTTTTCCAGCCCTTCACAGCAAGTAGGCAGGAAACTAAGACCATTTGAACAGTTCAAAGGATAAATTGTTCAAAATGAACAGCATTTTCTAACTAATCAGGGTGATATCGCTCCCGCTTTCTGAAGGAATCCTCCTAGGGCGTCTCTTTGAGCTCAGATTACTGACTCAGGATAAAGAACTTTCCTCTCTATCCCAGACCAACTTGCTGTGTTCCTCAGGGAGCTCCAAAATTTAATTGATTCAGGGAGTTATGCAGGGAGTACATAAACCTGTTTGACTGCTAAAGAAGTTGCAGAGAAGAAACATCCTCAAAGTTCTACAGGTATGTGCTGGTGACATTGACACCTGCTGGATGCTGAAGATGAAGGATGTTATCTTCATGTCCTATAGAGTGATGTCAGGCACAAACCCATCTTGTTAGAGCCCTGTCACCTCAGATAGATAGTTTTCCTCTCCCTTTCAACCTGCATCAAATTTCCAGCCTCAGAGTAGCTTTCTTGAATTAGAGACTTGGTTCTCAAACTTTAGTATGCATCAAAATCACTTAGAGGGCTTGTTAAAACAAAGATGGTTGGGCCCAGCCCCAGAATTAGATTCAGTAGGTCTGTGGTAGAGCCCCAGAAATTACATTTCTAAGAGGTTCCCGGATGATGCTCATGCTGTTGTGCCTAGGACCACACTTTGATAACCAATGAGTTAGGGTACTATGAGGACTAAGGTTAAAATGCAAATATCTTCATTAGAAGTAGGACATTAAAATGTTAATAACTGGTACATAATATGTATGGTATGAGTGTGGTGTGAGTTTAAACTGATCTTGAATTAATAATAACTATCATTTACGAAGTTCTTACTATGGGCCTGTCATTGTGTCACTGCCCTTTCAGCACCCCTTCTTCTCCACTGGGCACACCCACCCATGCAAACCAGAAGCAAACGCCCTAGCTCCCTGCAGGCTGTTAACAGTTTCCCTCTAACACTTGACTACCAAAAGTGTGGTTGGACCAGCAGCATTGGTGTCATCAGCACCACCACCAGGACCCTGTTAGAATTGCAGGGTCTCAGACCCTCCCCACATCTGCCAAATCAGAATCTGGCTTTAACAAGGCCCCAGATGATTTATAAGGCACAATCAAGTTTGAGAAGCACTGCTCTAAAGCATCAGTTCTCAGCCTTGGCTACACTTTAGAATCACCTGAGGAGCTTTTAAAAATTCTGATGCCCAGCCTTTACCCCAGACCAACTGAATCAGTTAATTGTAAGCTTGCCAGGTGATTCTGATGTACATCAGGGCTGGGAACCACTCTCTGAAGTATGAGGGATTAAGCAGCTGCCCCTCCCAAAATTATTTACATCTTACTGTGGGACCCTAGAAAACTGAAAAGACTTCAGAGGAATTCATCTCAACTGGCAGAATCTGAGGGGAGGCACTATAATAGGGTGAAAAAGTTACAGGAGGGAAGAGCAGGAACCCCTACATCTCAGAAAGAAAGCATTTGCCTTTCTGACTAATAGAAGAGTCAGCTATGATCTTGACTCCACTAAGTAACCTCAAAATGCAAAAACAAAATTTCCCTTCTATTTTATCCACAAGAAAAATGACTTACCCATTCCAAGTGTACTTCCAGAGCAGGTTACTGTAATAAATAAAAATACAAGCATGTAAGATATATTTATTGGGCTGGCTAGTTAGCTCAGTTGGTTAAAACACGGTGTTATAATAATGTCAGGGTTCAGATCCCCATACTGGCCAGCCACAAAAAACAAAAACAAAAACAGAATGAGTAAGAATGAACTTGGGTGATAAGAGGAGACACCTACTATCAGTATGACTTTGGCAAGTCACTTTTCTGTGCCTCAGTGTATCTGTAAAATAGTAAGAATAAGAATGCCAACCTCACAGGGTTGTTGTAAGGATTAACTGAGATAATACATGTAAAGCCCTTAGGATAGCGCCTGGCACATAGCACTCAATAAATATTAGTCATTATTATCATTTGTAATATTGTCCTGATTATCAGAATAAGCATCACTGATATTAAACAAACAAAAATGAAAATCTTCTCCCAAATGCATGGTTTTTACTAGGGATACAAAGCAAAAGTGGATTCCCTAACTTGAATCTAGACACCAAATCCTTACTTAGGTGAAATGTCTGCAGGCTTGAGAGTTCTTTTTTTTTTTTTTTTTTTTAAAAAGATGACCGGTAAGGGGATCTTAACCCTTGACTTGGTGTTGTCAGCACCACGCTCAGCCAGCGAGCAAACCGGCCATCCCTATATAGGACCCGAACCCGTGGCCTTGGTGTTATCAGCACCACACTCTACCAAGTGAGCCACGGGCCGGCCTCAGGCTTGAGAGTTCTAACTGATAAGGATTTCTGGTGGTTAACAAGCCATCAGAGGAATGACTCTCTAGGGGATGAACTGTGGGCATGGAGCAAGAGAAAGAACAAAAGACTTCCATCACTCACTAAGCTGTCTGATCATAGGCACATAAACTCTCTTACTCATTCTTTTTAAAATTTAAAATATATTGGGCAACAATTATGTACTAAGTACTGAGAATCAGAGAACTGATCATTTATTACGGGAGATTAACAAATCCTCAACTCATACTACTACGTTGTGGTAAAGATAAGGGTGCTGTGGGGTCATGAAGGAAGGAGGCAGAGGGTTAACTCAGCCTATGAAAATTGAGAAGGCTTCACAGAAGAGGGGAAGCTCGGGCTGGTGGAGTTCTCTTGGTGGAGGTGGGGGGGGGGGGGAATGCCAGGCAAAAAGAAGAGCACTGTGCTGTCTCAGAAACACGATGTAGCATGGTATGTGTGTATGGCAGGCGCAGGTGTGTGTGAATGACTTGATGTGCTTGGACTACAGAACAGAGTGCTCTCAGGAGGGATGTTGTGGAATGAGCCTAGAATTTCACTGTTCAATACAGTAGCCACTCACCACACATAACTACCTAGCACTTGATATGTGGCTAATCTGAACTGAGATGTGTTATACATATAAAATGCACACCAGATTTCAAAGACTTAGTATGAAAAAATTCAAAATACCTTAATTTTCATATTGATGAGATGTAGAAATGATAACATTTTGGATATGTTGAGTTAACTGAAATGTATTATCAAATTAATTTCACCTATTTTTACTTTTTTTTTTTTTTTTTCCTTTTTTTCTTTTTTTACTGACCAGTAACGGGATCGCAACCCTCGGTGTTGCACCCGCACCGCGCTCAGCCAGTGAGCGGGAACCAGTCTCCACATGGGATCCGAACCCTCGGTGGGAGCGCCGCTGCACTCCCAAGCGGCGCACTCTCCAGTGCGCCACCAGGCCGGCCCTATTTTTACTTTTTTAATGTGACTACTAGAAAATTGAAATTTTTATACATGGCTTACATTAAATTTCTATTGGACAGATTGAATGCCATGCTCAGAGCACTGAATTTTATCCTAAAGAGCAATGGACAGCTTTTGAAGATATTGAAAAGCATAAAAGTAACAATCAGAACGACAGCTCTGCTAATAGTATGGAAGCTGGAGTGAGGGCAGGAAGACAGGAATGGTGCAGTAGTCTAGAGAGGTGGTGAGGGCCTGAAGCATAGCAGTAGCTGTGGGAATAAGGGGAGGAAGTTGTGTTTAGGAACCATCATGAAGGTGAACTGGACAGGAATTGGAGACTACTTAGACACGGAGGGTGAAGGAGAGGAAAGCTGACTCCAGGGTTTTCAGCTAGTGTACCTGAAGGAAGATCAGAAATAGCAGAGGAGCAACAGTCCTTTGGCCCTGAAGAGGTTGAAGTGCCTGGGGCACCTCCAGATGGAGGTGTCAAATTTGAATACGGATTCAGAGGTTAGGAGAAGAGAAGAGTTATAGATAGAGATTTGAGAGCCTCTGAGCCTCAGTTTCCACATTTATACATTGGAGATAAAATTTGTTGAATCTACCTCATAGGGTTATTTTGAGCACTCAATGAGATATGGAATGTGAAAACACTTGATAAATTGTAAAATATTACGCAAATGTGATGAAGTGTTATTAGTGAGCTACAGTTCCTCTTCCTAAGAGCTCATCCTGACCCCAAGAACCTATTTCTGTCCCTTCTCATAGGGCTAGGCTTTAGGCCAGCTTGTCCTGTGGACAAGATAATGAAAAAACAAGGTATCAGAGTGTGACATCCAAGGACAGTGAGAACACCCCCTCAGGAAGAATTGGCCTTGTTCTATCGACAAGAGCTATTTTGAACCTCTTGTCACATACGTATGATTGGAAATTTTAGATTCTTGTTATCATCAGTAAAGGTTTGTGAGCCAATATTTATTCCTCTTCCTGTGTTCACCTGCAAAGTTCTTGGGCTTCATCATCTCTTTTCTTCTCTTTTAGAAATATATGAAAAATATATGGCTGTGCCCTGAGCAAGGTAGCAGAAGGCTCTGGAACAAGAGCAGGAGAATTGCTAATGATTTTCTGCCAGCTCTGGTGAGATGGCAGTTGCTGACAGCTGTGTTTTGTGATTACAGACTGTCTGTCCATTCATATTTCCAAACCAAGCTTATGACTTATAAATTCATTTTTTCTGACCCTCCAACTTTTCCTCGGTCATAATCCTCAATCTGAGCAAGTACAAGTTCAAGTCTTTTAACATCTAATGCGTTCCAGGTATCATTATCTCTAAGACGATGTTAAAAATCTATCCCCAAATCTCCAAGCAGAAAATCATTTTAAATTTGCTTTACTATTTAAGCAGCAAGCATCTGGCCCTCTTTCTGAAGGGAAAGAGAAGAACAGAGAAGAGAAAAGTGTCTCCAAATTACATGATGATAAAGTACCACAATTCCAAAGAAGCTTGGGATTCCCCACAGCCTGTTACATGTAGAAATTTCACACCTCTGTGACCTTCCTACATAGCAAATGAGTGTGATTGCTCTGAGTCTTTTTTTTTTTTCTCCTTTTTGTCTTTTTTCGTGACCGGCAACGGATCGCAACCCTCAGTGTCGCGCCCGTACCGGACCGGGACCGGCAACGGGATCAGCGGTATCGCAACCCTCGGTGTTGCGCCCGCACCTCGCTCAGCCAGTGAGCAGCTGGTCTGTATGTGGGATCCGAACCCTCGGCGGGAGTGCCACTGCGCTCCCAAGCGGCGCACTGTAGCAGTGCGCCACCGGGCCGGCCCTGCTCTGAGTCTTAATTCACTGATCTGAGCTGAGGGTTAGTTTTAAGTAAAGGGTCATTACTTGCTTTACCTGAGTGTGTGTGTGTATGTATATATATATATATATATATATATATATATATACATACATATTTTTTTTTTTTTAAAGATGACCAGTAAGAGGATCTCAACCCTTGGCTTGGTGTTGTCAGCACCACGCTCAGCCAGTGAGCAAACCGGCCATGCCTATATGGGATCTGAACCCGTGGCCTTGGTGTTATCAGCACCGCACTCTCCTGAGTGAGCCACGGGCTGGCCTACCTGAGTATATTTTTTTGGGACAGAAAGTGAGCTTCAGTCCTGTTTCAGCAACAGGTGAGACCATCACAGTATACACATCCCCACAGGGTATCTCGGTGACATCACAGAAACTGAGGCCAGTAGTTGGGGCACATGTAAAAATGCCTTTGGAGCCATAGAGGTCAGTGCTGTAATTGGCAGAGCCCCTGGAGGCTTGCCAGTAGACCCGGATGCCATTAGGGCCCAGCCTATATAATTTCACCCCCAAAGGGCAGCAGGCACCTGCAGGATAAAAACAAACACAAAATCACTTATTCCACAATCACACAAACACCTTTATTACTATAGGGAAAAAATATAAGTAACCTATTCTAAATAATATGATTAATTACTGGTTAGGTTAGAGCAAGATTTGAAGGGATATGCAAGTTCTTTCCATGGTGGGCCACATGATCAGAAATACGTGAGTGAGGGTGCTGTGGGGAGTTTTTAAATACAGAACAATGGTGAGTCAAAAGGTCTACACTTGGCAGATATATATTGTACAAACTATGAGTCAAATGCACAGAATCCTTGTCAAGATCCCTTATAATGCCCTAGTTTCATTTAATTTTAGTGGGATTAAATTTAAATACAATCAATTGCATTCTGCTTTAATTGAAAATACCAATCTTGCTGAGCTGAGTAGCATGAGGCCTTGGGAGCAGCCACTTACACCAAGTTTGCTGTTGTACACTTCATCCAGGCTAGCTGATTAGGTACTTTCCCCCCTTTTCTAAATATCTGAGCAGGCCACACATTAGGTGCCAAGCAGGAAAACAAATAGTGGACCCTTAGTAATGTAAAATAAAAATGCTATTGTACAACTAAAAAAAATTATTATAGATAGTCAGGCTCATTGATTTATTCTTTGAAAAAAAATTTTTGAGGTGTGAAAATAAGCAATGGGCCATATTCCCAGACCTGGATATCAAGGTGAGAACTTAGGCAGGAAAGCTAACGAATGATAATGGGCCAAAAGAGTGAGCTTACATATTTGCAACACATTGTAAACACTTTCACATTATGATTTATTTTTATTCTCAAAACAACTTTGAGAGATAAGCTATTTTTTTCTTACAAATGAGACAGAATCAGGGAAGATAAGTCAACACAACTTGTAAGAAGCCATGTCTAATACAGACTCCCAATTGAAGACTCTATTACCTCTGGGAAGCCAAATTTATACTTCAACTCTCCCATCCCATGCTCCGGGCAGAGCATAACTAACTGATCATTGTACTCTTTCTCTTTAAGCCAGAGGCATTTTCAGGAGTTTTTTCAAGACAATGCTACAAGCAGCTGCTTCAGTGGGTTAGAATCATGCAAGAAGAATCTTCCTGCTAACCCTGTACTGCTTTTACCCCCCTGCTATTCCCTAATGGTTTGGTCTTTGTGAAGAACAAGGTACCATCAGTAAACAGATGCCTTTGCTCTCTCAGACTGTTGAAATAGGAAATCACAGAAGGAGCTAGAGTGGCTTAGAAGTGAGAGATAGTGGCATAATATTGAGAAGAAAAAATGCAAACCAATTACTGTAGACTGTGTGATCTAATGCTTTCTGAAAACTCTGCCACGCTGAGTTAGTCTGTGCTGCAGGTAACTGTATCTCATAAAAATACATCATTCCTTCAGTAAAAATATAACTCAGCCTTGTTACCAGGGGAGTTAATTCACCAACTGACAACAGAAGCCCCTGAAACTTTGAGGTTCTAAGTCAAGGGGAAAACTGTAAACATTTTAGAAAGTGATCTGAATTTACAATGCAAGCTAGGTGGAGATGCAGCATCTTTTTAAATGAGAAGGAAGGGCTTATGCCTAGATTTGTAACAGTTGAGTCCTTACTGATACTCTAGAGCTAGAGTTTAGAATTCACTTACTAGAGGAATAACTCTGGTAGGCGCAGTCCGCAGTTAACCCAGTGGCACTAATTGCTTTTAATACCAGTGTGTAATTGGCGCCACATGTGATGCATCCCAGGAGGCAGTGGTTTTGATGGGTGTGACACTTAGACTGTCCAGTGTGTGACTCCAGAACTGTCACATAGGTTTGGGCCACCAACCCACTAATCCAGCTCACGTTGATTACTGATTGGGTGACCTGAGTTACTGTCAGACTAGCTGGACAGCATGGCCCTTAAATGGGGAAAAAGAAAAAGAATTAGGGATTTATTTCCACTGAAGATCCTCTGTGAAAAATGACCAGGAATAGTATTTTGCTTGTGTTTAACTCAATATCCTAAAGTTCTAAAACTTCCTTTTGTTGGTGAAAATTTTCCTTTTGCTCATTCCCTCTGACACATCACGTAACATCAACTGTATATAGTGGGTGCCTTCCCCAAGAATGCAGTGGACTAACTAGCTGTGGGTAATGTGAAATTTCCCCCAGTTTCTTTTCCAAAATAAGAAAGAAATCCTTTGTTGTTCCCCAACGTGAACAATTCCAGTTGCAAATTTCAAAGCAATGGTTGCATTCACCTCTTCTCCCAATATAACATTTCATAGCATTTGCAATTACCTGTAAATGTATTTTGCCTTTATTGTGCATTTCATAGTACATCACTGATATAAAAGCTTGATTTCCTAGCCACCTAAGATAGCACAGCGTTTCAATTTTTCAGGGATATAGGATACCTAGATCTTTGTGTATACTTGGCATTGTCTGTATTCTGCTATATGCTCCCGCCCCCCTTTTTTTAGGTGTTTCAACTTTTACAATCCAAACTGCTACCTATCATTGTATTAAGAAAAAATAATATACAAAGGCTTTAAGTAATTTGCTAAATTTTGCTCACACACAGTGCTATGAAGCAATAACAGTTTCTTTTATGGAGCTCTTACTACTCATCAGGAACTAAGAGGTGCTTTGCTGCATTAGTTAACTTAATACTTGCAACCACCCTATGAAGCCATTGTCCCCCTTTTACCGACTAGGAAACAAACTCAGAAAGCATTTTCTTAGAGAAAGATTTGAAAGGGCTGAGCCAAAGAAATAAACAATAAACTAGCTCATTTGGTTGCTTATTAGCTGTTTTGATAGATCATATCATGAGGGAACATGAATTCAAATAAATGTTCTGCAGAGTCAATATACGAGGGGCTTTCAAAGTTCATGGGAAGATTCATATTATCTTTTAATTCTATTTTTCCATGAACTTTTTGAAGTACCATCTTATTGCTCCTCTGATGTCAGTGCAAGAATACACTAGAGTTTGATAATATTTTTACAGACCCTGTAAAATGTTGAAAGTTTTCTTAGACTGGGCTCTTTGAAAGGCCTCTGAGTTTAATGTATTTCTATCATACTTAAGGTAGATTAAATAAGAAAGTTCACATCTTCGAACAATTCCTAAGGACCCCACTGAAGTCCACATTCAGGTTGGTGGTTGCTACATACCCGTTTCCAGGGGCACACTGTGGCTGGGCAGACTCTGTCCTGCCTGTGTTTCGGCCACAGCAGTGACCGAGAACACTGAGCCACAAGGCAAGCCCTCCATGGTGCAGGACTCTCCCGTGCTGCTGCATCGATACAGCCCCTTCTCCCCCTTGGCGGTCACCGTATAAGTAGCGTCATCATTAGTGGCTTGCCAGTGTACATTAATTATGGAAAGTGCATCCTTCGAAACATTTTTTATTTCAGGACTGCAAGGAGCTAAGAGATTTTAGAGTATTAATTGAAACAGCACGAGTCAAAACTATTACATGTGCTATTGGGTGTAAAACTGATTTTTTTGCCCAATGAGATCATCATCATTTTCAACCATGCCATGAGGTAGGCCAAGATCATAGAGCCTGTATGTGAAAAACTGTTGACATTGTCATAGAGTATTAGGTTCCTATAGTGTTGGACAACTGGAAAATGTTTAAGAGCATCTTGGACTCCAAAAGCAAAAGTAAGTAAGACAGGATTGGCTGGTTAGGTCAGATTGATAGAACTTGGTGTTATAACATCAAGGTCAAGGGTTCAGATCCTCACAACATCCAGCCACCAAAAAAAAAAAAAAAAAAAATTGTCATAGAGTATTAGGTTCCTATAGTGTTGGACAACTGGAAAATGTTTAAGAGCATCTTGGACTCCAAAAGCAAAAGTAAGTAAGACAGGATTGGCTGGTTAGGTCAGATTGATAGAACTTGGTGTTATAACATCAAGGTCAAGGGTTCAGATCCTCACAACATCCAGCCCCCAAAAAAAAAAAAAAAAAAGTAAATAAGACAAAAAAAAAAATAACCGCACACAAAGCAAAAAAATATGTGTATTATACTTAAGATATTTGCATTTCACTCAAGTAACTTATACCTCAATTTTTAAAAAAAATTTTAAAAAATGAAAGTGGAGAAAACATTAATAAAAGTTAAGGACTTCTTTTAAAAAAGTAAGTAAGACAAACATTTGCACACCATGGTGTGAATACAGGCAGCTCCTCAAAGGCAGGAGGCACTGAAGGGCCGAGGTAATCACCTAGTCACTGGGCAAAACCTCCCATTCTCCCCTGGGGCTCCTCTTTTGTTTTCTTTTTTTCCGCTTTCCTCTTCCGCCTTCTCTTCTGCCTTTCCTGAGCATATCAGGGGCTCTAAGGATACCCACAAGGAGTGGTTAGTGGGATTCAACCTTTTTATAGGTCTTTCTGGCTGCCCATCCTGAGGCACATAGCTGGGGTGAATTATTTAGACACCCGTGGATGAGATGGTCGCTGCACCATACCTGTGGTTATAAACTGGGAAGTACATGACGTATTGCTGCCTCGGACTTCACTGAACGAGTATACCGTGATGTTGTACTTGGTGTCACACTCTAGAGCCGAAAGGGTGCAAGCAGGAGCAGTGTCATTGCACTCAACCACATTGTACCCATCTACAGCCTTGGTTTCATAGAGTTCGGCACCACGGACAGGAGACCAGACAATCTCTACTGTGTCACTGGACACCAGCACAGGGTTAATGTCAGTAGGACAACAAGGAGCTGAAAGCAGGAACATAGAGTAGAGATCAGTACGGGAGTAATGCCACCAGAGAGGGGCATCGAGTCCTGAGCTCCCCAGGCCCAGAGCCCCTGCCACACCCTCCTAAACTACTGCAATAACCTCCTACAGGTCTGTCCAGTTCAGTCTTTGCCTAACTCACACTGCAAAGAGGAGAAATCCTCAGAATGACATTTAAGGTCATTACAAGCTGTAGTGTTCAGCTGTACCTCCCCTATCCCTGCCATTCCAGACTCCTCAATTCCGCAGCCCACTTGTGCTTTCATTTCTCTATGCCTTGAAGACTGCTGGCCTCTCCACCAGAAAGCCTTTCCCCTCTTCTGTCTGACAAAATCATACTTAGCCTAACTTCTCAGATCCTGTCAGTCTTTCCAGACATGAAACCAGATAACACTTGGGGGAGGAGAGGGAGCATAATTGTATTAGTAGGTCTTATAAGAGACCCTAAGGAATCACACTGACAAATTTTTAACTCAGTTTGGAGTTTCTCTCAGATGATCTTGCCCCACCTACATTCCATCCACTCTTAAAGTTCCAGTTCAAGGCCACTCCTTCTGGAACACCCTCCAGTGTTCTTGAGACCTTATTGGTAGCCTCTTACTCCATATTCTGAAGACACTAATTATTTGGATCCCCCATCCTGGTAAAATTTATTGTAATCCAGAATATTTTATATAATTATTTTACAGTATTCATATTTGCACATATAGTTAATTATCTTCAAGTCACTCACTCCACTGATTCTTCAAAAATCAAGCATTTCCCATATGCTGATCACTATGACAAGCACTGAGGACAAAAAGATAAATAAAACATAATCCCTGCCCTGTACAAGACCCAAGCCTACTGGAGAATAATAGAAACAGAATAATGATGCTCATAAAATATTTGCATGGCGTTTTATCACATACAAAGACCTTTTCACGTTCATGTTCTCATTATTATATTTAGTCCCATTTTCCAGTGGATGATACTAAGGAACTAGCAAGATGGACATTGTTATCCCCATTATACAAATCAGTTAGTGGTCAAGTTAGGACATAAACCCAGGTGTCCTACTCCAAAGCCCTCCACACCATGAGCATCTCGGCCATTACATCTCAGTCTCTCTAGTCTCAGGGAGACTGAACCCCTGAAATGAAGGGACTACATCCCCTTCAGCATCTAGTGCAGGCCTAAACACTGGGTAGATCTTTGCAGAGAGTTCAATTTTTCAGAGCAAGTTTGGACAACTACATTCTTTTCCCTCTTTTCATTCCTAAACCTTGAATTCTTATTAAGGTTGGGTCCATGATGACAAAATTTCCTAATCTGGAAAGAAATTAGCTTTCTAACCTGGGACGAGAAATTAGCTTTCTGTTCTAGAATGACTCCCAGGTGGTAAGTCACTACGCGCAACAGGCGATCCCTTTTGTGGCTGAGTTGAGTCAATTCAGAACTCCCTTTACAAATATCAACACAACTCACCTGTGGTATAATTGAATACGTCACCCAAAGGACTCTGCCCTGCCTTGTTATAGGCAAAAACACTGATAAAGTAAGTGAATCCACACTCAGATAAGAAATTGCACTGGGTGAGGGATGTGTTGCAGTGCACTTCCAAGCCATCATCACTCTTCACAAAGGCCACGTAGTAATCACCCAGATCTACACTGGACCAAGCCACAGACAGGTGGCCAGGAGGGTTTTCTTGGATCGTCACTCTTCCAGGTGCACAAGCAACTAGGAAATGATCAATAATTAGCTGTTGTAAGACTACTGCAGGACATTTTCTTTGCATCTTTATAATTATCTAAGATTTCGAGACAACCCAAATAAGCAACTCTGAGTTTTGTAACAGATTGAATGTGGTGCACAACATGCAAAATATGTACCAGAAGCATTGGCAGCTCTTCTTTCTTTCTTTCTTTCTTTCTTTCTTTCTTTCTTTCTTTCTTTCTTTCTTTCTTTTTTTTTTTTTTTTTGTGGCTAACTGGTAAAGGGATCTGAACCCTTGATCTGGTGTTAGAAGATTTTCTTTATAAAGCCAAAGGCTAAGCTATAGGGCCCAAACCACTACAACAAGCTCCAATGACCTGTCCAAATTATCTTGTTACATGAAATATTGTTTAAAATAATGGGCCATCAGAGTCTGATAGTCATTTTCAGATAGGAGATTTTCACTGTTAGAATGTATGGTGAGGGGCCGGCCCGGTGGCGCACTGCTGCAGTGCGCCGCTTGGGAAGTGCGGCGGCGCTCCCGCCGAGGGTTCGGATCCCGCATACGGACCGGCCACTCACTGGCTGAGCGAGGAGCGGGGGCAACACC